GTTTAAACAACAATGAAGTACTATATATAATTTACCAGTCTAGCATCACTGAAAATTTAATTATTGAGAGCATGAGGAAACAGGCTACTCACATAAGCAGCTGGTAGGAAAATAGAGTGATCCAACATTTCGAGATGTAGAACTAGAACTCAACATAGATATAGTCTTAAAAATATATTTAAAAAGTGTAAGAAAAAAATTAATAGAAAAGATAAAAAAATTAGGCAGAAATGGTAAAATGGTAAATGATGGACAAAAGAGCAGTAGAGAAAGGGAGGAAAATGGAGATTCTGTTTCATTTTCATTAAATAATTATGGTAGAAAATAAAAAAAAAAAAAAATATATATATATATATATATATATATATACACACACACACAAATATTCATACCCTTTCACTCAGCAATCTCATTTCTAGGATGAACACAGAATTATTCATAAGGTTGTTTATCTTAGTTACAGATCATTTATATTTTTCTAAATGTCTACCTACATTTAAAAAAACATAAATGTCTACCTATACTGAATTGATAAAATGAAAATAAGTGTCTCTCAATACAATGGAATTTCATGAAGCCAAGAAAAATTATGCTTTATAAATAGAAGAATGGTTTATGGGCTGAGAAAATGCCTTTGATATATTGTTCAGTGAAAAGAAAAGGTAGGTGATAAGTGCAATCCCAATTAAGTAAATAATTATGAATAAGTCAATATTTATAAATATATTTAGCAAGTATATGGTAATTCACATAGAAAAAGACACTGAAGAAAATGTAATATAGTAAGTTGTCTTTGGAATAGAAATTACTGATTTTTTTCATCATATACTTTTCTATATTTTCTAATTTTCTGTTGTGAATACACATTCTTTTTACCAGAAAAAAATAGTTTTATTTAAAATAAACACAGTGCAAGATGAGGCATTTAAGAATAAAATAGAACTTAACATTTTGAGAGGATCAAAAGTTACAGTACTTTCAGGTACCTCAGTTAAACAGGGATTAGTACTCAGGAAATTCATCCGGCTCTTAATTTCCTGGACATTGAGCCAAAAATGGAGTAACGAGTTCCATTTTCTGTCTACAGAAAACACGTTGAGTTATTTACATTTTTTTTTCCAAGAACTATAGTCAAACAAGAATTATCTGAATCCTTATATAAAAGATCTCACAAAACATGTTGAGCTACCACTTCAACAGTGGTCTTAAAAATAGGTCAACTGCAGCCAGGCATGGTGGCTCACACCTGTATTCCTAGCATTGCGGGAGGCCAAGCTAAGAGGATGGCTTGCGCCCAAGCAGTTGGAGACCAGCCCAGGCAACATGGCAAAATCCCATTTCTACAGAAACATGCAAAATTAGCTGGGTGGCATGCACCTGTGGTCCCAGCTATTAGGTGGGAGGATCAATTGAGTCCAGGAGGTTCAGCCTGGGCAATGGAGCAAGACATTGTCTCTTAAAAAACAAAGAAAGAAAGAAAAAGTCAATTTTGTTTGGCATTTTTTAGGCATCAATTCTGTAATAAATCATATTCCACTACATGAAATTAAGTGTAAATACAATTTTGTATGAGATCTGTGTAATATCTGGCAATAGATTGGTCCTCGTAATGTGCATTAGGGTAACAAGTATTTTTTTAATCATATTTATCTAATAATGCTTTATTCTGAGGGAATCATTTTTGTTGTAACAAAGGCTTAGTTAGAAGCAGAATGTTTACTTTTACTCAAAGGGAATGACTTAATATCTGAATATCTTAGATTAAAACAAGCACTTCAATTATTTCCCTAATGAATTATAATAAGTAATCTGTGTGTTTTTGTGTGCTACACGTTGGCATTTATAACATGCTTTGATTTACATCAAAACCCATTTGCTTTAAATTTGAAAAAGACCTTCTATAAAGTGTCCAGTTGCATTCTTAGAAATAGCACAAAAATTGCCTAGAAGGGAGGATTAATTAAGTTGATCATGTCAACTTTATCCTGCCCTTACATAGAATAACCATTTCATCAATTACACAAAGTCAAAACAAAACTAAGAAATGGGTCTCCCTCTTGACCAGCCTAGATATGCCAGCCTCTCCTTTGCCTAAATGCCACTATACAGTGTAGTGAACATTCACTTGGCCTTGCTTCCAATCCATGGACAATTAATTTTCCCATCTATATTCTTTTACTATGACACCCTTTTAGTATGTTTAAGAAGAACCTTGCTGATACCTGTGGTATCTGTCTCAGAAGTTCTTAGCATACCCTAGATGCCCCTGTTCACACTGATATCAATTTCTTTCAGATAATGTCTCACTCTATTGCCCAGGCTGGAGTGTAGTTAGCATAATCAACCATCAGGCTGAGACAATCCTCCCACGTCATCCTCCCAAGTAGCTGAGACCATAGGCATATGCCACCATACCCAGCTAATTTATTTTTTGTAGAAACAAGGTCTCACTATGTTGCTCAGGCTGGTCTTAAACTCCTGGGCTCAAGCATCTGCCCCTCCTGGCCTCCCAAAGTTCTAGGATTATAAGCTTGAGCTACCACACCTGGCAGATACTACTATTTTATTCCACAAATGTTTCAATCTCTTGCCACGTGACGGCACTAAACCCTATATAAAGCAGATTCGAAATATGATACAATATGTAAAATAAAGTGTTATAATTGCTACAACAGCATTAAGTACATGGTTCAATGAAGAGCAAAGGAGAAAACTGTCCAATTTACCAAATACGGGTAGCAAGGTTTACTATTGTAAAATATGTATTCATATTTTACATACTGAAAGTGTTTTTCATTTTAACATTGTGATTGAAGAATCAAGTCCAACAATTTTTCTTTTCTTTGTTTTGGTTTTTTTTTTTTTTTTTTTTTTTTTTTTTTTTTTTT